TCGAATCCAAATTGTTAAAATATCAACATCGACTAAAAAATACAATGTCGTTAAAATTTTTTACGGCAACAGATATTCTCTAAAAACGACTTCACGTTGAATTATTCATCGCTATCGACAAAAACGACAACCCTAATAACTTTATTATCGCCTTGACTTCATTTTGCGACGACGACGACGACAACCGTAATAATAACATTTTGTGAGAGGTGGAGTTATAAAATACGCTAGTGGCAATTCTTTCAGCGAGATATATAATATTAGATGCATTTACTTAAATATTTTTCTTGGACTCTCAAGCCATAATTGATGTAGCTTTCTTTTGTTTTAAAAAAAAACCCTGTTCTTAGACCGAATACTACAAAGTGTTTTCATTAACCGCAAAAAAGCTAATCTTCATCAACCACAAAAAAGGCGAAGTCTGTTTAATATTGAGTCTAATATTCAAAAGGATTCGTAGTTCCATAAATATGTGAAACAATTAAAACTTGATCTTTGATGACACATCTAAAATTGGACAATATTATGTAAGATTCAGAAATCGAACTTAGGAGCCACTGTGCATTAAATTGATTTAAACAATTTGGAGTTTTATTTGAAGTAGAAAGATAACATTGACATACTGTTCACTTGATCACGACCTTCTTATTCTTTATACATTTTTTCACATTTCAATTTTTTTTTTTTTTTTTGTTGTTTTGAAACCATCACATTTCTTGTTTCACTTATCTGTTAAGAAAATATTCATCTTATTGATAGTAGATTTCTATACATTGCATACAAGGTACAATCAACCCTTTTTCAGTTTTTCTTATTTTTTCATATTATTTATACATACGTTTCAATTCTTTTTGTACATTATGATTATTTTGAGAAATTGCAATGTAATTTAGATATATACTTTAAATTAAATATTTGGCATAATTCAATATTTATTTCAAAACTACTTTAAAATTTCACTCAATTTTTTTCAAACATTTTTATTTTGTTTGTTTTTTACTTTTAAAGGAATTTTCATTGGTAATTTGAGAGAGGTTAACAGAGGGAGAGGAAATGAGAAAATGTTATTGAAAGACATATTTAAATAATTTCCGAGTAGTCACAATATAGAAAATGTCAATCAGGCTTATGGTAAATGACATTTTCCTTATTCGCTTTTCTCTTGCAAAATCTCGGATTTCCTTTGGGCAAATCTCAATTTTTTTAATGTAACTTGACACCAATTTCGTGGTATTCATTCGTTCATATGAAGTTCTTTTTTCATTTTTTGGCAAATAGTATCCCTAATTAGTTTTTATTTTGTATAAACATAAATATTTTATCGAATCATCTATAATTTCTCATTAAAAGTAATTTATATATTTTTTTTATTTTTTTTTTAAAGAGACATGTAAGTATTTAAAAATGTGCCTGTTTTATTACTAAGGTACACAATTTTAAATGTCGCATTTTTTCCTTTGAAAATATATTTTTGTGGAGGGTAGTATAGGATGTTATCGTAATTATTTCGTTGCCAAATATATTATCAGTAAATAATACCTTTTTTTAATTATTTTAGTATGTAGTATATATTTAAATATGGATAAATAGTTTATTACACATATACATTTTTAGGATTACATATGTAACTTTTATTGTAGTAGATTAGAATAACACACATTAATAGCTTACAGAACATTCAAGAAAAGTCTTCAAAATTGTACCAAAAAATCTAAAAAATAAAACATGGAAGGAAGTCCCGTTTGTAAAGTCGGCAATGGTAGATTAGTGAGAAACTTCTAAATAAAAGCAAAATGGAGAAGAAATATAAATTAGTTTTGCTTTTTTAGGTTAAAATCATATAAAAAAAAAGTCTAAAAACTATGTTTATAGTCAATACCGAATTCGAAACCAAGCAACTAAGTAAAAGCGTTACTTGAGTGTTGACTAAGAGCTGTGTTAAATTAAATATAGCTTTTCCTTTAGATTCCTTTGAGGAATTTGAATGGAAAGGGAATCAAGATATAAATAATTTCTGCAAATGTGTGTGGAAAGGAAATACTTGAGAAGTATCATTAAAAATTACCTAGTTTTTTATTTTAAGGCCGTATTCAAAGTGGATTGGTTGGAGCTTTTAGAAATGCAATTTTAAATTTTAGGCGGAGTGGAACAATGCCTGAGATCGCCATTCGAAAATCTATCATTCCCCCACCATGGGGTGTTAAAATGTAAACGTTGACATGCAATGGAATTATTTCCTTATTCCGATTGTTGTGAAAGGCGGATTTGACGGTAAGTGAATTTAATGTTATATGTTTTAAATGTTTTCTAATGTTTATATTTTAGGTGCAAACCGCCGTCGACCAGGCAGTTGCAATCTGAAATGAAAAGGAACGTCTTTTAATAATTCGCATCTGTCCATTTGTCAAATAATTGTCTTTTATTTTATGCAGATTAAGAGGGAAGACCCTATTTGCAACACAACGCAAGAGACATTTATTGTTTGACGGACTGTGGTGGACTGGAACATTTTATGTAGGGAAGATGTTGTCTTCAGTTCATTCCAGAAGCATTTACAAATAGGCGACCCTGCTAAGGTAGTAGAAATGGATGAATCCAAAATAGTTAAACGGAAATGTCACCGTGTTCATGTTGTTAAAGGGGCAATGGGATTATGATGATATTCAAAGCGAAATAAAATGTTTTATTGTTGTCGTTGAAAAACGCTTGAAACAGATCCTGTTGTCCCTCATTGAAAGGAATATAAGACAAGGGTCTGTGATTATTTCCAAGATAAGTTTAATTTATATGCTGACATTTATGGATTTATAGTAAATAAAGATAGGAGACTTATAAGAACTTGAGCGAATTGATGTACACCCATCATAAAGTTAACCACTCGGAGAATTTTGTGGATCTTGCAGCTGAATGTCATACTTCTGCTATAGAGGATTTCTGGCGCTAACTCATGACGCATATACCAAATAATTGTCTTTTGTTTCATGTTGATTAATAGGAAAGGGTCTCTTAGCGGTATAATGCAAGAAACTATTATTAATTGGTGGACCGGGTGTACTGGAACATCTTTCAACAGAAAGTAGAAATGGATCCAAAATAGATAAACGGAAGTGTCACCGTGGCCATGCTGTTGAAAGACAATGGGTTTTCGGCGGTATTAAAAGGGGGGAAAATGTTTTATTGTATCAGAGGCGGTATTTTGCCTATCATTAAAAACAATATAAGACGTGAGTGTGTGATTATTTACGACTTTGGGAAGATGAGTTTAAACTATATGTTGGCATATATGAATTTATACAAAATAAAGATAAATGAAATGAAGAGGGGGTGTACCTATACCCATCATAAAGTCAAACATTCGGAGCATTTTGTGGATTCTTCAACTGGGTACAATACTAATACTTTTGAGCATTTGCGACGCATCAGTCCATTTACCAAAAAAGGTAGTATAAATAAACAAATACAAAATAGATAAACAGACTGACTGGGGTGTACTGGAGAAGCATTCCATGTGCATTTACAGGTAGGCGGTCCTGGTATAGTTGAAGAAATATAGGAATCCAAAGTAGTTAAACGGGAGCATGCCACCGTGGCCATGCTGTTGAGGGGCAATGGGTTTTCGGCGGTACTGAACGCATATATGACCCGATTTTGCGATGATTTCCGTATTTTTGAAGGTAAGTTTAATTTTTACATGGACATGTATGAATTTATAATAAACATTGTATTTTTTGTAGGCATATGGCACCTTGGACGAAAAGCAGTTCACCCATCATAAAGTTAACCATTCGGAGAATTTTGTGGATCGTGCAACTAATGCTATAGAATTTATGGCGCCAGCTCAAGGTATCACTTTATTCATATAGACGCAGAAAAATATATTTTTTTCTATAGTTATATCCAGAAAATTAATATTCACGGTGCAATGCAAATGAGAAAAATTCATTTAAAGAATTCATGTGGTTTGCGGGTCAACTCTATGATCCTTTTGAAAGAAAAGCGGCAGGAATTCCAAATGGGTTCTTCGGATTCTTCCACTGTAGAATTAGAGGTGAGTGCTTCTGAGGCCAGAAGTGGAGTTATTTCCAAGATAAATTTTATAGTTTTTCCATCTGATTTTTGTTATGTTATATTTTCTAATCTAGTGATAGAATTAGGAAATAAATTGAAATAAAAATAATGAAACTGTTTTAGTTGGTTTGGGGGGAGTTTTGTTTAGTTGCAAGTTTTGAAAGTTAAAGTTTTCCTAGTCGGACACACACCAGGGGAGGGAGGGATCCATTTGAAGGCCGGATACTTAATAAAACTATAAGGTTTGGAAAACTACGAATTGCATAGCCGGTGTTGGAAATTCACCGGTGTTATTTTATATTTTAGAGTCTAGTAACAGAATTAAGAAATGAATTGAAATAAAAATACTGAAATTGTTTCATTTGGGATGGGTAGAGTTTTGTTGGGTTGAAAGTTTTGAAAGCTATGGTTTCACACACGCACCAGAGCTGGAAGAAAGGCCGGCTATTTACAAAAGCAAGGATGGTTAGCCACATTTTAGTAGAGAAAATCTCAATTTCAAGATATCGACGATCGGGACTACCAGAGATATTGGCGCATATGACACCCTTTGGCCTTTTCTGTTAAAAGTTATACTATTCTGTATGCTCTGTAAACTACTTAATCATGTGATATTCTTTGTCAAGTGTAGTATAAATGTGAATGTATTTCAAAATGTTTTAAATGTGTTTGTGAAAAAATATTGTTAAATAATTTTCCTTAAAATCTTTTCTATATAAATTAATTTTGTTATAATTTTCTAATGTTCATAAAATATTTTGTCCCTTATTTTTTCTATCAATTTTATTTATTTTGTTGTAGATGAATATTAATGTTTTCTCTATGAGGATGATGGATGGTTTCTCGGGGTGTTGTGTAAAAATGTATATATAGTGTATATAAGTTATTCAATTCATTAAAAGTCTAATAATGTTCTTTTATACTTTATGTTTTTTTTTTCGTTTGTTAAATATTAAAGCTGCACATATGTTTCATAAATATATATATTGTTTTGTAATTTGTTTCATATTGTGTTTTATTCTTTATTATTATTTGGTAACACCATCAAAAAATATATATTTTTAGGTTTTTTTTGTTCTTGTCTTGTAAGTTTGTATAACTAGTATTCAGCAAATTGTTTTTTGTTTAAATAAAATTAAACAAACATGTTTAATAACAAAACGGAAACCTTCTCAAATCTCTTCAAATCGAATGCAAGAAAAAAACTATATATGTTTTAATTTAAAAAATATATGTATATATAAAATGTACAATAATATATATATAATGTATGTATATTGGCACTTTTTGTAACAAATTAAATTAAATGTTTATAACAAAGTATTTGACTGTGATTTGAACTTGTTTTTTTTTTTCAACAAAAACCATTTCATTTCTTTGAACATAAAAATCCTAATGGAAGAAAAACTTAATATTTGTAACATTTTACATAATTGTTTGTTGTGTTTTTCTTAATAATTAATATTAAAAATATTATTAGTTTTTATATGATTTTTTTTAGTTGGTTGGGTGGTAATTTACAAATACTGGAAGCATGTTTCCAAGTATATGCAATTGAAAAAAGGTGATCCGCAAGGATATTCATTCAAATTTGTTTAATTTAAAAAAACGAATAGAAACCCCTTTTTTAATATATTTTTTCCCTATGTGGTTTTTGTTCAATAGTTTTGAATTTGAGAGTCTATTTCCACCCACTTCTATTCTTTGTAACATATTATGATTTTTTTTTAGGAAAACTTACTGACCCTCGGTTACAATAATTTCTTGTTGTTGTTGTGGTGTATTGGCTTCCTCTTGTACGTTTTCGTGATCTTGTGACAGCTGCAAATTCTCTTCCAATTGTCCAACGAAGGTGTGTGATCTATGCGGGGGTGTTGCTGGTATATTTTGTTCATGATCTAATGATAATTCTTTACAAAGATTCATTGTTAGAGAATTTCTCATTTGTAGAGAACGTTCCAATTTACTGCGGGAGAAATCAATTTCATAATTGTAATATCAAAGTTCATCGTTGGTGGGTGGATGCTCTTGAACGTACTCCTTGGGAAAGTAGCCAACCTGGAAGGAAGAGAGGGAAGAAAAAAATTATGTAGGCAGCTTGGGATAAAAACAAGTAAAAAAACATTAATTTCGGCCGGGCCAAACTTTTAATACCCTCCACCTTAGGGTAAAAGAAACATTAGAAGAAATGTGCAAAAACCATTAAAATGCCAAATATCGGGGGGTACCGTTATATGGGGGCTACACCAAAACGTGGACCTATAATTACAATGTTTCGGCACACGAACTATGACCCATTATGACCCACAAATACCAATTTTTAGACAAATGAGTGAAAAAATGTGGCAAAAACCATCAAAATACCGAATATCGGGAGGTACCGTTATATGGGGGCTATACCAAATCATGGACCCATACATGCAATGTTTCGCCACCGGAGCTGGAAACCATAATGACCCACAAATACCAATTTTTAGACAAATCCGTGAAAATATGTGGCATAAATCATCAAAATACCGAATATCGGGAGGTACCGTTATATGGGGACTATACCAGAACGTGGACCGATATATCTCATTTTCAATACCAACCATCCTAGACACAATACAAATAGCTCTGCTAAATTTTGGCGCTCTAAGTCAAATAATGTGGGCTGTATCGTGATTTCAACAGGCAGACAGACGGACAGACGGACATCGTTAAATCGACTTAGAATTTTATGCTGATTATGCTTTATGGGGTCTAAGACGAATATTTAAGGATGTTACAAACGGAATGACAAAGTTAATATTGTTGGGGCAACCCACATTAACAATATGGCATCTCATGTTGCAACATCCTATACGGCAACGCCCATATAATAGGACGCCGTGCTACCGCCATTTTAGCTTGCTCAGTCTTGTTTTGTCTGTCACTCGAGTCTGACTCACTACATTGTAACTTCTTCATTCCTTTCAAATTAGTAGCTGTGAACGCTCATCATCCAATAAATCTTTACACCTTTAGTATTAACAAACATTGGCTTTTATTTCAAACCATAAAAGCACAACAAAAGTGGCGACGAGGATAGTGGAAATTGATCAATAATTACACACACAACAATCCGCAAAAATGTCTCAAGACATAATTCTACAATTGTTAACAGAGCAACAAAAAGCAATGTCGCAACAAACGCAACTGCTAAAGCATATGGCTGATCTTCTTCAAGCACAAGGAGCATCAAATTCACCACACTCACCACAAACATCAAATTCATCCAAAGCAGCACTAATGGAATCACTAGCACAGTCAATGACAGCATTCGTATACGAGCCAGAGAGCGGTCTGATATTTCAAGCGTGGTACAACAGGTTTGTGCATGTTTTCGAAAAAGAAGCAAGCTCACTCGAAGAACATGACAAAGTGGCCTTGTTATGGAGAAAAATGTCGAACCAAGTACATGAAAGATTTGCCAACTACGTATTACCAGCAAAACCTGAAGACATGACTCTAAAGGATACAGTAGAGAAACTCAAGAAACTCTTTGGTAAAACAGAAACACAAGTCTCACAAAGATACAAATGCCTTCAGCTAGCAAAAGGCGACAGCGAAGATTTCAGAGAATACGCAAGCAGAGTAAACCTACAATGCGAACTATTCAAAATGAAAGAACTGAAAATCGACCAATTCAAATGTCTCATTTTCGTCTTAGGACTCAAGTCAGCAAAGGACAACGACATAAGACTTCGCTTACTAAAGGTACTGGATGATGAAAACACTACAATGAACCTAGATCAACTAGTAGACGAAACACAACGAATTCTAGATCTCAAATCGGACAACATTCTCATTGAACATCAATCAAAAATCGTCTGTTCACTCAACAAGCACGCAAAAGACTTTAAGAAGCACAAAACACCCAATTCACCCTGTTGGTATTGCGGAGACCTTCACTACGTCAAATTTTGTCCTTTCCAGAAACATAAATGCACAACATGCAATCAAGTGGGTCATAAAAATAACTTTTGCAACATCGCTAAGACTGGTAAGAATTTCAAATCATCGTCTGAAAACAACCAGAACGAATTCAAGAAATACAGCAATTCAAGGAAATCATTCAAAACTAAGGCAGTTTTCAAAACACACAACATTAATTTCCGCGACTTAAGGAAATACACAACTGTCCTAATTAACAACAATCCTGTAAAACTTCAAATTGATACTGCATCAGACATATCAATTGTATCTATCAACACATGGAAAGCTATAGGTAAGCCTGTAGCCTACGAAACTTTTGACAACGCTAGCGACGCAAACGCAAATTCAATCAAGCTCCTAGCAGAATTTCAATGTGACGTCACAATCGACAAAACATCAAAAACATTAAAATGTTATATAACAGATATAGAAAAACTCAATATCATGGGAATCGATTGGATTCAAGCATTCAATCTATGGCAGAAACCAATAACCTCATGGTGTCATCAAATAAACTTCGTTGATGAAATAGCAGAATTGAAAACGAATTATCAACCAGTTTTTGATAACAGTACCCCAGGTCTGTGCAAAACAAAAGTCAACATACAATTATTGCCAAACACAAAAGAAATATTCGTTCCCAAACGACCAGTTCCTTTCGCAGCAAGAAAGGAAATTGAAACAGAACTCCTCAGATTAGAAAACGCAGGAATAATCACACCGGTAGATTCATCGAGGTACGCAGCGCCGATAGTGGTCAGCAAACGTAATGGAAAAATTCGATTATGTGCAGACTATTCAACAGGACTAAACTCAATAGTAGAACCTAATCAGTATCCATTACCAACACCGGAAGAAATCATGTCTGATTGCCACAACTGTGTAATCTTTAGTCACTTAGATCTCTCAGACGCATACTTACAAGTCGAAGTTGACGACGAAAGTAAAGAGCTTCTCACCATCAATACACACAAAGGTCTATATGAGTTCAACCGTCTAACCCCAGGTATAAAATCAGCTCCGGGAGCATTTCAAAGGATCATGGATAAGCTATGCGCAGGCATAGAAGGAGCAAAAGCATATATAGACGACATCATGTTATCAAGTCCATCTATTCCGGAACATAAATTAAATTTAAACAAGCTTTTACAAAGAATTCAAGATCACGGATTCAAGCTGAAATTTGAAAAATGCCAATTCTTTCAAAAACAAATCAAATATCTAGGACACATAATAAGCAAAGATGGAATCAAACCTGACCCAATCAAAATAGCAGCCGTTCAAAATCTTAAAACACCAGAAAACGTCTCGGAAGTAAGATCGTTATTAGGCTCTATTAATCATTACGGGAAATTTGTAAACAACATGAGAACACTACGTAAACCTCTTGACGATCTACTAAAAAAGGACGCCAAGTTCGAGTGGACGTCACAGTGTCAAAAATCATTAAACGACTTTAAGAACATCTTGACATCAGATCTTCTTTTAACGCATTACAATCCAAACTTGCCTATACATGTAGCAGCCGATGCATCATCTCACGGAATCGGCGCGGTTATCTATCATATGTTTCCAGACAACACTATGAAGGCAATACATCATATTTCCAGATCACTCACACAAGCGGAAAAGAATTACAGCCAAATAGAAAAAGAAGGCCTAGCCCTTATATTCGCCGTTCAACGGTTTCACAAAATGTTATTCGGACGCAAATTTACTTTACACACCGATCACAAACCCTTACTCGCAATATTTGGTTCAAAGAAGGGAGTTCCAATTTACACAGCAAATCGTTTACAACGATGGGCCCTTATATTACTGGCTTACAACTTCGAAATTAAATACACAAACACAAAGGACTTTGGTCACGCTGATGTATTATCAAGATTAGTCAACAATCACGAAAAACCAGCAGATGACTTTATAGTGGCTTCAATATCATTCGAAGAAGACATACGTAACGAGATAAATGAAACTATGTCAGTTCTCCCAGTATCATTTAAAATGATCGTCGATGCAACAACAAAAGACACGGATTTACAAATGGTCCTCAAATACATTCAAACAGAATGGCCAGAAAGCAAGAAAAATATTAACCCATCAATTATTCAATTTTTCAACCGCAAGGAAAATCTTTCAACCTTCGATGGTTGTATTCTCTTCAATAATCGTATAGTAATCCCTAAATCATATCAGAGACAAATCTTACAACAACTTCACAGAGGACACTTATCAGCAGAACGCAGCAAAGCCATCGCCAGAAGTTATGTTTATTGGCCAAACATCGACAAACAAATTGAAGACTTTGTTCGGAAATGCAAAAATTGTCAACATGCGGCAAAAAGTCCAGTAAAAACAAATCTTTGCCCATGGCCATTAACTTCACACCCTCTTGAAAGGATACATATAGACTATGCTGGTCCAGAAAAAGGTAAATATTATCTTCTTATCATCGACTCGTATTCAAAATACCCTGTTATATACGAGACAACAACGACAACCACATATGCAACATTAAAAATGTTAAACGAATATTGTGCACTCTTCGGAAATCCTGAACAATTGGTCTCGGACAACGGAACACAGTTCTGTTCAGAACAATTTGAGAAGTGGTGCAGCAAAAAAGGCATTAAACACACAAGGACTGTTCGTTTTCATCCAAGTTCAAATGGACAAGCCGAGCGTTTCGTTCATACACTTAAACGTGCATTAAAAAAACTAGAAGGGGAAGAAACGCCTACGGAATCTCTCCAAACCTTCCTAGAAGTCTACAGATCCACACCAAATCCAAATGCACCAGAAGGTAAGTCTCCAGCAGAATCCTTCATCGGAAGAAAAATGAGAACGGTCTTCGACGTTCTAAGGAAGCAACAATCGCCTGAGTATAACGTCAATCACAAAATGGAACAGCAGTACAATACCAAACACGGTACCAAAAACAGAGAGTTTAGCAACGGAGAATTGGTCTATGCCAGAAACTTCAAAGGAAACAAAAGTTACTGGACAACAGGCGAAATAGTCGAGCGTAAAGGGAAAGTCATTTACAACACTCTAATCGACGTTGGGGACAGGAAAATTCTAGTACGAGCTCATACTGATCAACTTCGACATAGAGAATCGGTAGAGTCAAGCAGTCAAGAACGACAAAAACTACCATTAGACGTACTACTTGAAGAATTCGAAATCGCTTTGCCTAACCATCAAGAACATTTTGCAACTCCAACAGGTTCACCAAACTGGACACCTCAAAGAATAACCAGTCGCAGACAACCAGTCGAACCTATTTCAAGATCACCTTCTCATCTTAAGGAGGGAGATGTTGGGGCAACCCACATTAACAATATGGCATCTCATGTTGCAACATCCTATACGGCAACGCCCATATAATAGGACGCCGTGCTACCGCCATTTTAGCTTGCTCAGTCTTGTTTTGTCTGTCACTCGAGTCTGACTCACTACATTGTAACTTCTTCATTCCTTTCAAATTAGTAGCTGTGAACGCTCATCATCCAATAAATCTTTACACCTTTAGTATTAACAAACATTGGCTTTTATTTCAAACTATAAAAGTACAACAAATATACCCTCCCCTCCAAGGTGGGGGGTATAAAAATAAGTGAAAAATGTGTAAGTTCAGCCGGGCCGATCTTTGAATACCCTCCACCATTTGGAACGATTTTGGCACTTTTCAAAAAAATAAAATCCATTAAGAATTTTGTTAAAATCATAAAAATACCGGGTGTAGACGTTATGCTAGGGTCTATACGACGACGTGGACCTGCATAGGCAACTTTTGTCATAGACCATGACAATATTCAAATGCGAAACTTGAATAAAAAAATTCAGTGTATTATATAGCTAAAATCATCAAAATTTCGTATTTGGGGCTATACGAAGAAATGGACTAGCACAGACAATTTTCTGTTATAGGCTGTAGAATCTATTACGAGCTTCAAATACTACATTTGAAAAATTTCCGGTGATTAATGTCGTTTAAATCACCAAAATACCGAAAATAGGTAGGTACCATTATTTAGGGGCTATAATGAAACGTGGACCTACATTGTTCATTTTCAATACCAAAAGTCCTGCAGTTATAATATACATTTGAGTAAAATTTTATCAACCTACATCATTTCTACATAGAATTTTATGCTGATCAAGAATATATATACTTTGTGGGGTCTAAAATGTATATTTCGAGGTGTTAGAAACGGAATGACAAACTCAATATACCCTCTAATGGAGGGTATAAGAAAGGAGCGTGGGGGTAACAAGTATAAATTATGGAGCGATATTGAACTAAGTAACCTAAAGCTTATTTGTTTTTTTCTTTCTTTTGCAAACAAGCCAGCCGCTGACTTAAGCCAGTCAAAAAAGCGTTTTATGTATTCTCACCTTTAGACGACCTTATGTAGGCTTTGATTTCTAATCACAATTATGTATTTGGAAAGCAAATTTATTTGTCAGATGGGCTAAGTGCGGATGGAGTCCATCCACGATGTAGACCAACAAACAACTTACCGTATCACCAATTTTACCCCGCCACCAACCTTTATTGTCACCATCTTTGCCAATTACCAAAACTTGGCAGCCAGTTTTCAGGGCCAATTGATTATTGCCTTTGGGTTCAAAATCATAAATTGCCGTAGCCAAAACTTCACGATAGGGCCATTGCAAAGATTGATTCAAACTATAAAAGAAAAAAGAATAAAATAATTTATATTTTTCAAAAAAATTTAAAATCTTTTTTAACTCACCCCGCAAAATTTTCCCCCAAATCATTGCGTTCATAATACGAAACTAATTCGACAATATTTTTAAAATGTCGCCTTGATGACAGACAATATGCAATATTATCACCAGAATGATCCTGATTGATTTTCATATGTTTTATGACATTGTCATCGGTTCTGAGTGCAAAGAACAGAAAAGATTTTCATTAAAATTTCAATTTCAAGAGTTGTTTGTTTTTTATCAAAATTTTGAAAAAAACTTACTTTAAACTTAGAGCATACATTGTTTCTTTGGGATTTGAGGCACCTTGAGGCCGCACTCTCAATAGATAAGTGCCGACTCGTCGATGCTCTAGCCTCGCTTGTGCTGTTTCTCTGTCCATATTGCCAACGAACCTGAAAAAAATGGAGAAAAGGTTTTTTAAATTAGACAAAAGGGGAAAACAGAAATTTCGATCTCTGAAATTGGAGTAGTATCTGAGATACTTTTTAGGAAAACGTGATATATATAACACTGCGCGATACAATTCGATAATTAGAGGGAAAACCCCAGCAGATTAATGATCCCATTATCTCAAGTTTGCAACGGCAATCCACCATGCTAAATACATTTCTATCTATAAATATTTTCTTCTTCTTCTCGCCCTACACCTCTTCTATCCAAGAAAAAAAGGCCTTCCTAGGATGAACACTATGGACCAAAGGTCTCAGAGTAAAGCAGTTGTCGAATCCCGTTTAAATTTTAACCAAGCGCCAGGAATTCAAAATTGATGTTTTTATCCATGTTTTAAAAAGGTCCAAAAAGATCCGCTTGAGGTAAAAAAAAATCCTCCTGTTATTATCAGTAATATTTCCGAAGACATTATCTATCTAAAATGCAAGGTTTCCAAGGAATCTTAATCCGAAAATTTATAAAAAAAGTTGAAGAGAAGGGGACCTATCGCCTCTATTATTTGATTCGTTAATTCAAGTCTTCTTCTGAACAATTTTTCTTACCAATTGAATTGCGCCAATTGTCGATCACACACAGGTGGGGGTATGGCAACGATATTTTGTTTACAGCGGCCAGTTGATGATATGCAACCTTTGTGGACAGCTATTTCACAGACTTTGCAGCGATAACCCTACGCAAAAACAAAACCATTATTAATTATTAAATATGCTCCTTATTTAAGGCAATGCAAAACTAAAAACAAACCTGATGTATGCGACCCTTTAAAAATTTCGAACAATGTCGACACGTTGTGGGTGCATCAAAGGTGAAAATTTCCATTTTGTGGTCCGTGTTACGGCAGCCAGGTGGATCCAGATTTTCCCTAGAAAATAGACAATAAATATATATTTTTTTATTTCTTTGACCTTTTTTGAATATCAATAAAAACAATTTGATCGAGCTTGAGGTAAATTTTTACTCGATCAAATTGTTTTTATTGATATATTTTCTTGCCACAAATTTTGCACAATTTTCAATGGCCACTACTCACATTGCTTCCGTCAAAGCTTTACGCCATTTATCGCGTTCAGGTTCCGATTTCAAGTACAATGTAAAAGCTGTTTTGCCCGATTTACGTGCCAGCAGTAGTTGATATTTAAAACGTGAATCACGGCCAATGGTACGCCGCGAATGACTCTGTTCGACTTGATATTCGGCTAGATTGTGTGAATCACGGAATGTGTACTGCATATCGCCGGTTTTCATGTGTGATGGTTTGACCAAAATTAGAATTTTATCAAAAACAAAAGCGTAACGTAATTTGGTTTTTTGATCTTCATGGGCCTTGATATGCAGCTCACCGTCGAGCAAAAGGCGACCGTATTGTAGCAGGTCATTGCCATTTTGCAGTAAATGTAAATCAATTATGCTATCCTGAAATCCAAAAAAGAAAACAATTTAGAAAAAAATCGGCCAGTAATATGAATTTTAAACGATCTCTGATCTGATCTCACCTTAACTTTTTGTATAATAACTAAATGATCGGAATCCCTTTTAACTTCATTAATATATTGTGATACATCAATCATCGCCTCTTTGGCTCTTTCCAGTGAACGATAGTCTTCGTGGGCCTTTAATCGCAAACAGGAAAAGATAACAAATTTATTTATTTTTTATTTATTTAATACAATAGAATGCGAAAACTTTGCAAACACTTACCGGTGATGTTTCCTTAACTAATTTGTCTAAGAGTAAATGATATTTTAAAATACGTTGCATGGGTACTGATAAAATGTCCCGCAATTGTAATTTGCCCACATTATATTCACGTTCACATTGCTGAAATGAGAAAATCATAAAAGTTATTATTATTTTCGGGACATCATCTCAAACACATTTTAAAGAACGCCCAATGGCGGCAATAATCGTGGATTTTTTTATTGATTTTGAAAAAGATCGAGGGATTGAAATTAAGATTAATGTGTTCCAGCATAGATGTTCTACTACTATATTTTTTATGGAGTCTACGATGAATATTTAGAGGTGTTACAAACAAAAAAGACAAATTTATGCACCTTTCCTAAGTTTAGGCTAACCTTACCTGTACTAATTGTTCTATAATTTGATTCTTTTTACAAATATCAGCCAGAAAATCAATTGCTCCAAGCAGACACGAACAGTATTCACCATAGATTAGAAATGGTTCACGAAATTCCAAAAATACTTGACCCATTTTCATTTTAGCATGGGGTTGTAACGAGTCCCTTAATTTGTCCAGAAATTTTGTGTGGATATCAGCTAATTCCTGAAAAAAGGATAGATTTATGAAAATCCTTCACAAGAGATAATTTGGACACTCACTTTGATACGTGGAAATATTTGTTTGATATCATCCGGTGTTAGATACCTTTCCAGTGGGGCCATGAATTTCATTTTCAAAGCATTTAAAACATCCAAATAATTTGATTCCGTATCGATCAGTTCACGTATAACATAATCACGCTGTTCAAAACTGGTGGCGGATGTAATCTAGGAGATTGGGTGGAGGGCGTTGAGAAATATATATTAAAATCTACTTCCTTGTGGAAATGAAAAATACCAAACAGGACATAAAAGTGCCACTAAATATTTATGAATACATGACATATTGATATTAAGGCTTTTTTGCTATTATAAAAACTTAAGAAAAAATAATAATGAAATTAAAAATATAATACCTGACTTCTACTGGTTCTTTGTAAAGCACACAAATCTTGATAGACTTCTTCCTCTTTTGTATTAATGTGTTCATCAACACGACCATTGCATGCATTATTATCGGTGGTACTATATATATATATAAATTATGTTGGTGGTCACGAACGATCAAATTATATGCGGTGGAACCAAAAAATTTGTATAAAGAAATTAAAAGCATCACATTTTTGGAGTTTTGTTGATTCGGTTTTGTTTTTGCGTTCACATAAAAAGAAAAGAAAGAAAAATAATCAATAATAAAATAAATTATTTTCTTAATTAAATAAATAGTTTATTCACATTTTTTAATTAGAACTTAAAGAAATTTAAACTAAAACACACGTTACTTTAATAATTAACTACTTAAGCGGCTTCGATTACAATTTTTATCGATAACAACTACATCAAAATAATAACATCCATAGCTAACAGAGGAAATAACAATGAGAGCCAGAGGAGACAAATAACAGCTGTTCCATGAGAGCAATAGAGAGAGTACAATAATAATTTTGCCTGCAAAACACAAACAACAAAATGTAAACAAACGAAAAAATCTCTCACAGAGAACGGCTTTGCGCTCCCACATACTCAACATAACCACACACTCACACGCACCCATCAATTGAATCAAAAAATAACCTCAAAATGAAAAAAATGTGATAAATATGAGAACCACAATCCGACTTGTCGTAGCTGGCTGCATTAATGATGACGACGGAATAAAAAATCGCTGTTCTCCACTAATAAAACAATATTAAAAGTACAAAATAAACAAATTATACATATATTTTTTTAAACAAAACAAAAAGCAAATAATGTCGGCCAACCAATAAAACTACTAATACGAAAATTCCCCTGGAAAACAAAACGAAATCTGCAATTAGAACAACAAAGCAACAGCATTTTGAAGCAGCAGACCAAAGGCCGACGGAAGACGGGTTCTAATAATCATGGAACTGCATTCATATGCCAAACGTAGGGCCTCCAAGAAATGTAAGTGTAGTAATACCGCCAGTTGCATAAAAAATACAAACTAATTTATATTTTCCCTCCCTCTTCTCCCCATTCGTCGTACCACAGGGACAATTGAACAAAAACGCAAATTAGTCGAGGCTCGCATCAATTATGATTCCTGGTTTAACAGCAAACCCAGCAACAGTGTAGTGCCTTGGAAGTAAGTCTGGAGATTATTATTTTGTATTGAAGTGTTTTAAAATAATGTTTTCTTTTTTTTTTTTGTTCAATTTTAGAAAAGTTTTAAGTGTTGCTAAATTGGATGATTTCAATGTGTTTTTTGTTCGCAAACAATGGTCCAATATGCTTACCAGATACAAACAGTACAAGGTAATAATATATAAAAAGCGTTTCAATACACTGACAACTGTTGATAACATGATAAGGAATCATATAGGAGGCGGGATGGGGGTGGTTGTTGCTGTCAGAATAAAATAAAAACAAAATAGTCATCGTGTTGTGATTATGATGACCCATATTAGTGGAAAGAGGTAACGAAGAGACAATTGAAAGCGATGGTGTTAATGCACCGCACAGTGGAAGAGCTAACACAAATCCATTGGACCAAAATAATGGTGTATAAATAATTTGAGAACCATTTTTCGAAATGTTTTAAAAGTTTAAAAGTTCAATGGCTGAAGAAAATCAGCGTAGTTTTGGCGCAGGATGGTTCTGCCGCCTCATTTCGTATTGCTAGAGTGCTACACAGACCCGCAAACTACAGAGGATATTTAGCTACATCCCATTAGAGTAGCGGATTTCCCAAACTGGATGTTGAAACAGAACCAAATTTCCGTCCTAAGAAACGAGCATACACTTCTCATAAGTTTGTCTTAACTTTTATTTTAGACACCTCATTTAACAATTAAGTAATGTCTGTATATTTGTTAGCAACAGGTAAAACGCAAAGAAAGAGACCCTGTGTCATTTTAAGGCCCTGCATTAAATCTAATTCGGTTTATGCCTCATGTATTGTTCAATTAAAATACAATTTAGTTCAGTATTTACTTGTCCCAAATGCATTCTTTGTTGAAATATGTAAAGATTCAATACAGCTCCAATATATTACCCTCTGTGATTTAACATTGGCTCATATTTGCTAAAACAGATTTAAACACATGAGCCGAATTCAATCTGGAAACCAGATATAGGTATTGGTGTCTATTGCAGCTACTTCACATAAAAGCCTCCAATCGGAAACACAATGATATGTAGTTCGGGTGACCACTCATGGCACAGGAACACTATCGACTTTTTTTCAAATACATTTTGAGACTTAAAATGCATATGCGTGCTAGAAGTACCTATGCCAATTTAAGTGGCAATCTGTGGAAATTAACACACGACTAGTACAGAATTTCCTCCGATTAAACCTTCGAATTCAGACAAGTAAAAGACTGTAAGTTTGTCCGTACCGAAATTATAATACCCTCCAACATGATGTTAAGAAACCCTTTAAAAATAACGATATTTCCTCCGATTATACCTCCAAACTCAGGCAAGTAAAAGATTTTAAGTTCGGCCGGACCAAACTTATAATAACCTCCAACATGAGGTAAAGAAACCCTTTAAAAATAGCAATATCGGGAGTTAATTTTCGAATTTCATTTTAAACTACAAATCTGAATAAAATCGGTTGGAGAAAGCAGTTTAACATGCCATAAAGTTGGTGTCCCATTTTAGGGGTGCTATACACATAGGGTGAACCTACATGAGTTGATATCTATAACGAGTTTCAATTGCCAAATTTGAAGTAATTACGTGGAAAATGTGAAAATCATCATAATACCGAATATCCGGTGGTACGGTTATACGGGAGCTATGGGAAAACGAGTGTCCATGTAGACTACGCTCTGTCACAGAAGATAGAACTCATTACAAACTCCAAATACCAAATTTTAAACAATCTCGTTGAGAAATATGGCTAGTATCAAAATACCAAATATCGGGTTATATGGAGGCTGAATGAAAACGAGGACCCATGTAGACTGTTGTGTGCTACAGTGGATGTTGTTGTTGTACAAGCTATTCATCTCTTGTTTCATCCTGCAAATCCGACTTTAACGCCAGATATAAAAATTCGCACAACTTTACATGCTATAACGAAAGACCTTCTGGAGTGAGTTGGGCAGGTTTGGCAGATTAATTGAAGATATACTGCGTATTGCGTGGTCACCCTTTGTTACTATTAAATTATCGCCCTAAAATAATAGCTTTTGGTTTTTTAGCCCGCAATCGAAGAAGAAATGTGCTTTTAAGTTCGCATGAAACAGAACGAACCATCTTTCTCCTTCACACATTGTTTTCAGAACCTAATTTTTTGGCTTTTCCTCTAAAGAATAAAAATCCCATTAATACACATTTTTTAAATCCATTTATGCTAATTAAATTTCCTTGTCTTGTTCTTATACTTTTCAGCAATCCCGTCTGGATGGCATTGCTACGAATAAAGCAATTCACGCTGAAATGATTCAACGTATAAATCAAGAATGGGAATTCTTTGAAGCTATACACGCGTTTATGACACGCAAAACAACAAATCTCCATTCGTATGCAGTGACACAGAAAATTGCCAATGCCGGTGTTGGTAGTAACAATAACAATGTGGAGGATAATGAAGCCATTGCAACCAAAAATGCTGATGATGGTCACGTGGTAGACGAAGGCGGCGGCGGTCGTGGTGGAGGCACCATCGATAATGATGGCGTTACAACAGCAGTTGCCTTGCAAACCCTAACAAGAAGTCATGACCTTCAACACCACCACCATCATCATCACCATCATGTATTGCCCTTGACACGAGATATAGGGTCGACAACTACATCATCAGCACCAGCAACGGCAGCAGCTTTAATGAAATTCAAAAATGACTGTTCTAAAGAGAATATACCAAATAACACCACCATCTTGTTACAAGTTGCTGCTGCTGGCCCGGCTCCAACAGTTGCCGAGGGCACCCAATTGTTTAGCAGTGATACAAATGAAGAATTTGAAATAATTGGTGGCGACCGTGAAGTCAGCAACAGGGACATCAAGGATATCATTAAAAATTGTGCCCGTAACACGGATCATGATTTCTATTCCAAAAGGTCGGCCAGCAATAGCTTACTACGTAAATTTCCCATAGAAAACCATCAATTACATTATTTCATGGACACCAGCGAAGAATCAATGGGTACGGAATATGTGCAGCACACATCGTCCCTGGACAGCAGTTCCCTACCCTCGGTTATGGAAAATATTGAATTACACACCGAAAATGCTCGTACCTTTGAAATTAAGTCTGAAAATCTATCCCAAGCTCAGGTTAACAATATAAAACAGGAAAACTTTTCCATGACTGAAATGCCATCGACCAGCAGCGAGAGAAACAATTCACAGCAGATACAAAATCCCACATCAACATCATCGGCCCCAATGCCAGCCACCACTATGGCCCGAGGGGAAGAAGGGGGCAGTTGTAACAACAAAATGAGCGAGCGTGATAAATACTATCGTCATAAACGTCGTTTTAATCGTCGCCTAGAGAAACGTTTTGATGCCTTGTTAAATGTTGTGGGCCAGGTTGTTAAGGCTGAATATCCCAGTGTGGATGTTAAACCGTTGATGGATACTGTCGCTTCATTGGCCACAAATGTGGGACAAATACTGAGCAGTGAATCCGAAGAAACTGATGATGATAATGATGGAGAAGAGACGGTTAGTGCTGATTCGGATGGTTGCGGTGGCGGTGACATGAAGACTCGCCAAACACGCCCACCAATAAAGGGAAAGAAAAAATGAGTTAATATATACAAATTTTGTTTTGAATTTAAAATGATGAAAATGATTGATCTGTTTAAAAAGTTTGTTAGAAAAAAAAACGTATGAAATTTCAAAGGCTTTATTTTTTTACACAACAAAAAATCGTTACTATATTCGAATAGGAAAAAAGTTTTATTTTAGAAAAAGTTTTGCTGATAAATTAAAAGAAAAATAAGAAGAATAAACAAAGAATTGCAAATAATAAAATATGAAAATTGTTGATGGAATGGAGTGTCATTTTAAGACAGTGAATGGAGAATCAATTCAAGGACTATTAGACCAAAAATATTGGATTATTTCGGAAAAATTCTTTAAGGACTTCAAAGATGAATTAATGTGATTTTTAGAAGAAAAATACTTTAAGGACTTTCGGGGTTAATAAACGTTGATATTTTTGCAAATTTCTTCAAGGACTATCACACCAAGAAACGTGGATTTCTTGAGAATTATTTCATCAAAGACTACTTGAAACGTGGATTTCAAGGTATACCTTACAAAAAGGTCAAAGGAAAAATAGAATCATTCTTCAAGGACTATATGACAATTTAAAGTGGATTTTAAAAGAAACTTCATAGATTATCATTTTATTTTAAAAATATATTTGGAAGATGACTCTAAAACTTTCTCTTTCTCTCTTTTCTGTGGGAAAGCCTTCCTGAGAACTTATATAAAGAAAGGTATACAATACGCGGTAATTTGACGATTTACTTTAATTTTCAATTTTTATTATTTATAGATTTAATGGCTTGTATTTTTTATTATCTAATAGCTTGCCTATATAGGTGCACGTTTTTGTACAGCCCCCATATAACCGTACCTCTCCAAATTCGATATTCTGATGCTATTAGCCACATTTTCCAATGAAATTGTATGAAATCTGGTATTTAGAGTTTGCAATGGGTACTACCTCTGGTGGTAGGGCATAGCCTATATGGGTCCTCGTTTTCCCATAGCTACCGATATTCTGTATTTTGATGATTTTAGCCATATTTCTCAACGGAATTGTGGCATAACATTTTCTTTATAGGTCCACGTTTTTCCATAGATCCCATATGACCGTACCTCCCGATATTCGGCATTTTAATTGTAACATTCGGTATTCTGATGATTTTAGCCACATTTCTCGAATAAAAGGGTTTTAATTTCGGTATTTATAAATTTTAACGGGTTCTACCTCTGGTAACAGAACATTGCCTACAAACGTCAAAGTTTTTTTGTCATAGCCCTATATAATCATACCTTCCAATATTCTGTTTCTTATTCTTTTAGGTACATTTTTTCACGGAATCGTTTCAATTTTAGTATTTGAAACTTGCTATAGATACCTCGTTATACTTTCAACCATAACGGTTTTAGACCCTAGATCTCTTTAGACCAAATTCGTTTAAGGACAGTTGGATCCGATCTAGCGATGTCCGTCCGTTTGTCTATCTGTCTGACTGGCTGGTGCGCACTATTTGGTCCAAACTTGGTACATCGTAATATTATTGTCAAACTTAGATCGAGTTCAAAGATGGGTCATTTTTTTCGTACAGACCCCACATAACGGTACACTCTAAATTTAAGCATTTCGACGATTTTCTGCAAACATTTCCAAAAGATTTCGAAATTTTCGGACTATACGAAGTCGTGGACCTGCAAACGAAATTTTTTGGCGTAGGCTGTAGTACCCAATACGAACTTCAAATAAGAAATTAAAAACAATTCCGACGAATAATGTGGCTAAAATCATGAAAATTCCGATTATCGGAAGGTATCATTATATGAGGGCTATACGAAAACGTAGTGCCAATTACTTGCTTTAAATACGAAATTTTATACCGTTTTATGGAGGCTATACGAAAACGCAAACCGACATGTCTCATTTACGAACTTAACCTGCCTACTTAGAAACTGCAAAGGTATGAAAAATTTTAGCTTTCGATCTCAATTCGTTCGAAAGATTGATTGCAAAAAACAGACAGGCGGACATCGCTATATACTTTGTAGGGTCTGTCATGAATATTTCGAGGAGTTACAAACGGAATGACAAGGCTAATATACCCTCCATAGAATGGTGGAGGGTATAAAAATCAGTATAATGCTACCGCCACCTTACGATATTTCAAAGACTTTAACTGCATTCTCCAATTTCTCACTGAAATTTCCGGTTTAAAAAAGATAACTTATTTGAATATTGAATCCCAATACGCACCTCATGGTGAAGGGAAGGCCGAACAATTTATTTGCCTTACATCAACATCTAAAATCTTGCTTAAATTCGTTAATTTTTTCGGTTATTAATTGCCTGATAACATTCCACCACGACATCCTTTTTGGCTGCTTAATAGTTAATGACGTTAAATGCTGGTTGTTGAATAGTCAAAGGCAGCGGCGGCGGCGGCGGCGGCGCCTATATCAAACCATTTTTCCACACTTAATACAGACGATTTAACAAGGAATGCCGCCACAAAACGAGCGGCAGCAAAGGAAATATAAAATAAAACTTTATTTAACAGCTCCTTAGGTGCCGTATACCACGCTGCCAACCAAGAGGCTAAAAAGGAAAGGGAAGCAATGATTGGGGGGTTGTAGAAATAAAAACAAACAGAAGCATACTTTGTTTTATTTGATTAACCCCAGCAACATTGTTGGCACAACATAAACGTGCTGCATTACTAAACACGCAGCTAGCTGGGTGGCTGGGAGGGTGGATGGGTGACTAGGTACCTAGGCTAGGGCTAGTAAGGAAAAACATAAAACAAGGCATTTAAAAGCCGCTTGGCGGTTTTCAAAGTTGGCTGGGTCCGCGCCAAACATCACTTAAGTTGGGAGGCTGTGGGAGCCAGCAGCAGTCATCTAGCCGTGACACAACACAAGTACACAGGAGAAATATGATTGTATGTATGTTGGTATTATTGTAACAGATTGTATACGAAGCAGCACAAAACACAAAAGGATAAATGAAAATCCTTTGTGAAAATGAAGTTGAAATAAGACTTTTGTGTGGCCTATAATCGTCCAAGCGACAGGAGACGGGAAGTCACAGTGATAATTCTCTTTATGGCATTTAAAAAGGAGAAAAAGAAAAGCAAAATAAAATGCAAAAGACTTATTTCTGGGTGTGGAACATCAGAGACCTAACCAGATGATATTAAAAGAGTTATATACAGTATGACAGAACAGTCAAAATCTACAGAACAGTCAAAAAAAAGTTCAATGTACCAAAAAAAAAAAACAATTTAAGTCCGGAAATAACGTAATGCCTAAAATTTTTAGCATTCAAGTCCAAAATCAAATATTGGAGAATGTAACAAAATAACTCTCCTGTCTATTTTATGTTTCCGAGTAAAGGTAAATAAAAAAGGAAAATTAAGCTCAAACAGAACAACCATCAGACCGGTCAAATCCAAACTTCTGCAAACTCCACGGGGGGCTCCTGGATCAAAAATGTTGGATTATTTAAGAAATATTTTTTAAGGACTGCAAAGATAAATTAATGCCAAGGCCTATCAGACGCCAATTTTTGAAGAGAATATGAGACGTGGGTTTTTATATATATATATATATATATATATTTTTTTTTTTTAAAGACTTATGCTTTAAAAAATTTTTGAGAGTGTTTCTTTAAGGATGTGAATATTTTGAGGATATTATTTTAAGGAAGTGGATTTTTTTGAGAATAACTTTTCAAGGACTTCAATTTTTGAGAAAATTTTTTCAAGGATGTGGATTTTTAAATAATATTTTTTCAAGGGCATGCGAGGAGAATATTTCTTCAAGAACGTGGTTTTTTATATTTTTTTAAAAACTTAAGCTTTACAAAAAAAATTGAAAATGTTTCTTTAAGGATGTGAATATTTTAAGAATATTTTTTCAAGGAAGTGGATTTTTTAAGAATAACTTTTCAAGGACGTCAATTTTTGAGAATATTTTTTCAAGGACGTGGATTTTTAAAAAATATTTTTTTCAAGGGCATGTGAGGAGAATATTTCTTCAAGAACGTGAATTTTATTAAGAAGATGTCTTTCAGGACAAGTTTTTTAAATATTTTTTCAAGGAAGTGGATTTTTTTGAGAATAATTTTTCAAAGACGTCAATTTTTGAGAAAATTTTTTCAAGGACGTGGATTTTTAAGGAGTATTTTTTCAAGGGCATGCGAGGAGAATATTTCTTCAAGGACGTGAATTTTTTTTAAAGAGATGTCTTTCAGGACAAGTTTTTTAAATATTTTTTCAAGGACGTGGATTTTTTAAGAATATTTTTTCAAAGACGTGGATTTTTTGAGAATATTTCTTCAAAGACGTGGATTTTTTTTAAAAAGGACGTGGTTTTTCTGAAAAAAGGACGTGTTTTTTTAAAGGACGTGGTTTTTCTGAAAAAAGGACGTGTTTTTTTAAAGGACGTGGTTTTAGGGAAAAAGGACGTAGCTTTTTAAAAATAGGACGTGGAATTTTGTAAAAAAGAACGTGGTTTTTTTGAAAAAAGGACGTGGATTTTTAAAAGAGGACGTGGACTTTTTTAAAAAAAGAACGTTAATTTTTTAAAAAAAAAGGGCGTGGATTTTTTTTAAAAAAGAAAGTGGATTTTGTTTTAAAGAGGACGTGGATTTTTTTAAAAAAGAAAGTGGATTTTGTTTTATAGAGGACGTGGATTTTTTTAAATAGAACGTGGATTTTTTAAAAAACGACGTGGATTTTTTTAAAAAACGACGTGGATTTTTAAAAAAAACGACGTGGATTTTTTAAAAATAGTCGTGGACTTTTTAAAGAATGGAAGTGGTTTTTTTAAAGAAAGGAAGTGAATTTTTTTAAATAATGCCGAAGGACGTGGATTTTGCGGGAGTAATTCTTTAAGGGCATAGTTTGTTGACAATATATCGTCAAGGACATGGTTTGTTCAGAATATTTCTTCAGGTGTGTGGATTTTTGAAAATGGACGTGGATTTTTCAAGAATAATTCTTCAAGGACATGGTTTGTTGAGAATATGTCTTCCAGGTCGTAGATTTTTTAAATTATTTCCTCAAGGACGTAGTTTTTATGAACATTTCCTCTAGGACATGGTTTTTTAAAAATAATTCTTAAATGACATGATTTGTTGAGAATATGTCTTCAATGTCGTATATTTTTTAGAATATTTCCTCTCGGAAGTGGTTTTTTTAACAAAATTTCCTCAAGGACGTGGATTTTTCAAGAGTAATTCTTCGATGACACTGTTTGTTGCGCATATTTCTTCAAGGACATGGAT